CGTAGGCAAATTGCTTTCCAGCTTAATTCGATTCGATAAGGGGGCGTGTCATCTATGGCATATTCTAAAAATTTAATTGGTTTCAACGGAAAAAACGGGAAAACAAGACGGCAAGATGGGCAGAACCTCAAGAGGCACTTTCGTTCGCCTCGTTAGAAAAACAAAAAGAAAAAAAGGTGAAAAACTGTTGTAATTGTTTCTGGGGAAGCGGCGGGAAAAGTGAGAAAAGCGTCAAGGGTAAGGGCCAGGGTAAGAGTGTGAAGTGGGAATGTGGCTGGTAATTGGTTCTGACTGCTAAATGAACCATTTACCAATTAAACCCGATTGCCAGCCAAAGGCCCGAGAGCCATGTGAGTTTTTCACCTGGCTTAGAGAGGAGATGTCTGTGAGACAAGCTGGTGAGGGCGATAGTCATAAAGGGTGATTAAGAAGCCAGCAAGAACTAGTTTCTTATGCTAAAAGTAGCTTAAGGATGATCTAAGAATGTAATCTATATAAAATAAACTACATTTCCACCAAAACTCTTAAAGAACTTCCCAAAAAGAAGTTGATAAATACAAATTTTCTGAAATAAAACCCCTAGAAATCACGCTACCTTCTCTAAAAAACAACTCTCGTTAGGGAAACGCTGTAGTCACGCTCAAGAACACGGCGGAAAAAACGTGGAAATTGGTTCAGAAAACGGTAGGAAAAAACCAGGCTCGTTGAGGAGTTGCCAGTTTGCTGGGAAAATGGTTGGAAAAAGGCAGCAGAAAAGTTGCTGAGCCATTGGAGGAGTGGAAGAGCAGAGCACCTGTGCCTGGGCTGCTCCTGACACAGGAGGAGCCACGTTGTCAAGTGCCTGGAGTGGAGGATCCTTTGTGTTGGCCACAGGGGAGAAGGCAGATTGGCGTTAATCATGCAATTAATTGGGCTATAAGCCCGGCCTCTGCTCCGTTAGCCCGGGATAATGGATAATGACAGGCAGATTGCAGATATCAAGTGGAAAAGTGGAAAAGTGGAAAAGGTGTTAAGGCGACGGAGAGTTCTTCTGGGGAAGACAGCAAGAAAGAGCACACTTTTAATGCATTTTCCAGATTTGAATTTAATTACTTAACATTTTTTTTTGAGCTTTATTTTGTTTTTTCCTTGAAGTCCCCTCGGCCTCTTGAATTTCTTGCAGTGTTTCGAGTTTTTGTTTGTCCTGGCCAACTGTTGCTACCTTCTTGGCTGTGTTCGGCTGTGTTCGGCTGGCTTATCCTTCGATCCCTCGCCTGGTAAAAGGTCAATCAAAGGTAATCCCTAATCCGGTACGACCCTCTCTTCACACCTTCTTCGCCTGGCCAGCAACGGCTTATTTACATTGGCACTTCTCGAGGCCAGGATTATTGTTATCACAATTACTCGGCATCCTGTCCTGTGTTTGTTCTCCAGATAATATAATTACAAGTAATTCCTGCTGCCCACGACGACTATGTAGCTGCCCCTGTTCCCATTCCCATTCCCATTCTCAGGCAGGACAATGGGCCACTGGAATGTCCTGCAAGCTGCCCCCGGACCTGACAGCCTGACAACTGTTGTGTCAATATTTTGACAGAAGAATGCCAAAATGCCTTTTTTTTCGCACAAAGCAGGAAGAGCCGAGGGAAGCAGAGGGAGGAGCAGGTTTCGAGGATCAAGGATCAGGCAGCGTTCGTCGGATGAGTCAGCGTGCAAAAATGCAGACAGGCTGGGAGACAGATAGACGGAGAGAGAGAGAGAAAGAGAGGCAGAGGGGAATCTTGGGGAATAATAATAAGTTAAGGGTTAAAGCCAAATAAACCGTCAACATGGGTTAATCTCTGTATCCTTAGAACCTTTGGTAAAAGCCATCAACCTCTTTGAGGAATCGCAAACGCATGGCGGTTTCCAACAGCAGCCTCAACTTCTCCTTGGACTCTTCGGCTTGCTCCGGACTTTGGCCAGAAGGCGAGAAATTCTTGAGCAGATCCTCGAAGGTGATGGGATCGTTGATGGAGCTTAGGAGCTTGATCAGAGCCTTGGCATCAATATCGGAAGTCATTGCTTAAGCTTTTTAGTTATAGAAAGATTTATGAATATGTTTTCGTGTTTTTAGAATCGAATGAAGAAATTTTGGTGTTCTCTGTTTGGTTTCTCAGAAGGTTTCTGATTTTTTTGAGAAGGCTGACTGGGTTTTACAGTTTACAGTTTGAAGTTTAGATGTTTATCATTATCTGCTATTAAATAAACTTAACAAACTAAAAAGTTGTTACATTTTAAGTTTTACTGGCAAGAACTTCAAGGAGAATACGAGAAAACCTTCTTAGAAGGCAGAGTCCTTTTCTGACCATATCTCTCAAGACTTATAGTCTTCTTCTTTCACTTGACAGCAATCGGGGCACACCCACACATGCATATTTCAAGTGTCCGGAGACACAAACACACACACATACAGAGAGAGATATTTGCATGAAAAGGCGATTTAAGCAGCAAACTAAAATAGAAATTAAGAGAAAACTTGAGGGGGCGAGGCGGGAAATAGGAAAACAAAAACACAAAGTGCAGCTCAGATGGCGGAAATGAAAAGAAATTGCATATACATAAGTGTGTGTGTGTTATGCATTTTCCTCTACTATACATGTGTGTGTGTGTTTGTACATAATGAAAAAGTACTTCATTAAAAATCAAGTATGTGTTGATTTCCATATGAAAAACAACAACAGGGAGACATAAACCGACCGAGGAAATGCTAAGTACACGTACGTAATGTACTAGTGGGTGGGAGGTGGTAGGTGGTAGGTAGGTAGGTGCCACACCCCACCCCCACGCCCCTTTTCGAGGGGCATTGTCACAGGAAATGAGTTGAGCCGAGCCATAAGGCAGGCAGGAGAAATGGCGAAGCGGAGAAAGCCCTAGACTTTGGCTCAGAATTGAAATTAAAAATGTGTAAATGAAAAAATGAATAAATATGCTAGATGATGATGATGATGATGATGATTATGACGCTGATGATGATGATTACGATGATGGTGGGGGCTTGGCAAATGCAAGAATATAATTGCTACATTTCGTATTAAGCCTCCTCCTCCCCCAGCCCCTCAGCCCACCACCACCATCCACTTCCGCTGCTGGGCAAATGGCAACAATTGAAAACTTTCTTTGATCTTTCGCATGGAAATTAATTTCTTGCGCCTTTTTGTTGTTGCCCAGCAATTATTATTCGTATTCGTATTCGTATTATTTGCCATGAGCTGGGCTTTTCCAAGGGGCAGGCAGGGCAGGCAAAGATTGGAGCACTCGATGGGGAAAGCTTCGGAAATCTGACACTGAAACCAAGCCAAGCCATAGGAAGTAAACCAAAACCAAAGCTTAGTTATAGACACTAACTAACTTTATCAACTAATTATCTATAGTCTTACTATGGACTTTAAAGTGTGGAAATTTCTTGTAATATTTCCATCATTGGAAGGCTGGAATGACTGGCGGAAAAGCCGAGAGATGGAGCTCCATTTCCACTTGGCTTCTGACGGGTTTTGTAATGATAATGATGAGGCTGATTTACCCAAACCACACATACTTTTAACCCTATATATATATAGACACTGTCTGCTCGCTGGATGTGAATTTTCATTACAATTAAGCCTTCCCTCCTTTCTTCATGGCCTAAACCACGCCATTTTGTGGAACAATGGAAAATGCAGCCAGAAACCGCAGCAATTTGTGGCTTGAAACCTGCGATACGGGGAAAAACTCACATACGGATACGGTGTGAAATCCCCGGCAAGTGCACTGAAAGAAACGGTTTTGGCTTTTTATGTCTACTTTTCGATTTCGAGCTCGTCGAGGTAATACATTCCATATTCGGACGAATTTTGGCTGAGTTATGGGAAAAAATACTACCAATTTGTGAGGGAAAAAGCGACCAATCGGATTTTCCATTTTGGAGAAGGGTTAACATCATAAAATTTTCTAAAAATTGCTAAAATTTCGCTACGGGAATCAGGATTACAAAAAAATTAAAAAAAAGAAAGTGACTTCTTCTCGCAGTTGGATTTGAACCGCTGTACTTTGAAGTTTAAGTGCTCTACCAGCTGAGCTATTAAACTGTAAAAATATCGGAAGAATAACCTTAGCCTTATTTCTTCAACCTGTCATTTGGAAAATTTAAGGACGAGGATCGCAGTAGGCTGTTACCTTCACAATGAGGTATAACAATCCATATTCGGACCATCATTGGCTGAGTTATGGACATGATACTGTCAGTTTCAAGAGAAAGTCGGGACTAACTCAATTTCGCATTTTCGATTTCCTTTCAATTTTTGCGAAAATGGATAAAAAATGTACTTTTTTAACCTTGAATGCAGTTTTATTAGAAATCTAATTACTAGCAACGAGGTATTACATTCCATATTCCGATCATTTTTGACTTGGCTATGGGAAGATTACTGATTTTGAATGCGTAAAAACGGGAATCAGGATTACAAAAAAAATGAAAAAAAAGAAAGTGACTTCTTCTTCTCGCACTCCGATTTGAACCGCTGTACTTTGAAGTTTAAGTGCTCTACCAGCTGAGCTATTAAACTGTAAAAAAATTGGAAGAATAACCTTAGCCACATTCCTTCATTCTGTCATTTGGAAAATGTAAGGACGAGGATCGAAGTAGGCTGTTCCCCATATACCTTAACTAATCGAACTAGGTTTAGCTTATATGAAACATTTCAAAGCTGTCAAATCGCCGCCGACGGTAGCCTAGGGAGCTAAGCTGACTCCCAAATAGAACTATTGCCGTCGGTCTGGGTTCGAGTCCCGGTAAAGATCTAAGAGCATGGAACACGGACAGAGATTCCCCAAGGACGGAGAGTACACATTACACATTTTAGGATTAAGCATAAAGTGAAATGGATAAACAAATAAAATAAACTTTGTATTGCAATTTATAAAAATTAATAAAGGACAAGGACAAGGAGAAAAACTCCTTTTTCCTGTTTTATATAAAAATACAAAAAATTTCTTTTTTCTAGGTTCGCATGCAGTTTCATTGGAAGTTGAATTACAAGCTGAAAGCGACCATGGCTTTGGACCATTATTGGCTTAGTTATGGACTAAATACTGCCACTTTGAGGAGGACAAAGGGGTAAGCTAAATTTCTCTTATTTGCTAAAATGTGAAAGAGACCTAAAATTTGACTTTTCAAACTGTGAATGCAGTTTGTCTGGCATTTTAAATACGAGTCTAGCGATGTAGGATAATCTATATTCGGACCACTTTTGAGTTTGTTGTGGGAAAACTTTAGATTATTATAGAACTTAAATCTGGTTAATGATTTCTGAGGGAAAATGCAATCTTTTTTATGGGTTTTATACCTATAACTTGGTCAAAACAAAACTTACAGCTGAAAGAACGACTGTTATGTGAAGCCAACGACCAATAGCAACTTTTTTTTTATCATTCCTTTGATGATTTTGTGATTGTTTATTTTTAACAATTTTTTGAATTTTTTGTAAGGGGCAACATCATCAAAATTTCCGAATATTTCTCAAATTTTTACTTTTCAAACTGAGAATGCAGTTTTGTTATAATTTCAATTACGAGTTCAACGAGATATTGCATTTCATATTCGGACAATTATTGGCTTAGATATGAGGACAAATAATGCCATTTTAAGGGGAAAAAGCGATAAATCGGATTTCCAACTTTCGATAAGGGGTAACATCATCAAAATTTCCAAAAATTGACATAATTTTCAGATTTTAAGGTGTGAATGCAGTTTTGTTATATTTTTAATTACGAGTTCAACGAGATATGACATTCCATATTCGAACCATTATTGGCTGAGTTATGGGAAAAACTCTGCCACTTTAAGGGGAAATCGGGATAAAAACGATTTTTCACCTTCGATAAGGGGTAACATCATCGAATTTCGCGAAAAATGGCTTAAATTTTACAATTTAAACTGTGAATACAGTTGTCTTAAAAGTCAAATTACGAGCTCATCGTGGTATTACATTTCATATTTGGACCAATATATGCTGAGTTATGAGAAAAATACTACCAATTTGTAGGGCAAAAAAGCGATATCTCGGTTTTTCCATTTTCTATAAGGGGCTAACATCAGGAAATTTCACAAAAAATGGCTTAAATTTCATATTTTAAACTGCGAATGCAGTTTTGTTAGAAATTACGAACTCAAGGTTATACCTCTTCCATATTTCGAGCATTATTAGCTTAGTTATGGTCATAATACTGTCCTTTTTATAAGAAAAAACAAAATAAACCGAATTTCGCTTTCTTGATAAGAAGTAACATCATCAAAAATTGCGAAAAAATACAACAAATTTACTCTTCGAGGTGGGGACACAGATCTTTTGAAAATTAAAAAAAAATTTTGCAAAAATTGTCGAAATTTTTACTTTTCAAACGGTGAATGCAGTTTTATAGGAACTCAAATTACGAGCTTAAGGAGGTATTACATTCCTTTCTCGGACAATTATTGGCTGAGTTATGGACTGAATAAAGTAACTTCTGGGAGAAAACAAAGAGAAATCGAGGGCTAGAAATGTCCTTAAAATGTTTCAATTTCAAAACTACTTCGGGCAGTGCATCCTCATCTTATGCTGCAGCCGCGAAATTTTGCAATTTGCGCATAATAATCATGATAATAATAATCGCACCCACATGTGGGATTTTTTCACCTCGGGCCAGGGCGTTGGCGCTTGCCGGAGAGAGATTCTACTAAAAAAAAAAAAAAAAAAAAAGAATGTGAAAAAATACGGAAAGGGGAGAATAATTGTGGTGGGCGTGGCATAACGTACATATGTGTGGGTGGGTGGTTTGGTTTGGTTTGGTTTGGGGGGAGTGTCATTCGCCTGGTTAATTGTGGTGGAAGTGGAGGAGCGGGCCATGTGCTCTGTTTCCCACTTGTGAGAATTGCGCAATTTTCAATTATTTCTTGGGGAAAATGAGAGAAGAAGAAGAAGAAGAAGGAGGAGAAGAGAAGCTGCCCAGGGATAGGGGGCGTTGGATAGGTGGGCGTGTCATTGCAGACTTTTGCATAATTATAAGCTGCGATTCACTCACAGCCTGCAAATTATAATTATTGCAAGCGCTGTGTGTGTGTGTGTGTGTGTGTTAGTGTGTGACTGAAATTATGCAATGGTCTGATTATGCAACTGTGAAAAAAACGTACTCAAAGCTTAAGTCAAGGATATCTAGGGAAAATGAGAAGGCTTTATCCTTAACGAAGTCTAACTAAGTTCAGTTTTTTCTAGCAGGAAATCAACTTTAAGCTACTTTTCTATATAGAATTCTGTACCTAACTTAGTTCTTATATAGCAGTTTTCCCATCTAGAAATCATAAACCCTATGTTTAACCTCTAGAATCCTGCATCCCGCCTACTTCTTGATTGTCTTCTGCCCTTGAAATCCTGGCCAGCTCCTCTCCCATTCAACTTCCCGCAAATCCAATTCAGATCCTTTGATTGCGATTCCGATTGCGTGAATATTGGAACAAACGAAAACAACAAACAAAAAGTGTGAAAAAAAAGCATGAAAAAACACAGAAAATTAATCAAAATTCGTGTTGAAAGTTGGGTGTTGGATGCGGGAGGCAGGTTGATTGGGAACCGCCTGCCTAGTGGGTGGTTTTTAATCTCTGGACCCCGGAATGGAACTTCTTGCACTTTTCGCCACAAAAGCAATCAAAGGCAATGCAGTTTTGGTTTTGTTGGGCTCTGTTTTTTTCATTTTTTGTATTTTAACAGATGGCTAAAAACAAAATTCATTAAAAAAATGTAAATAAACGAAAAGGAGTCGTGGCTTTTCTACTTTTTTGGGTTTTTAACTTTCAGTTTCCCCCTTTTCCACGACTTTTCCTGGAAGAAGACTTTGTGGTTGAAGTTAATTTGAGGATGGTTGGGTGTTTGCAAGTAGTAGGAGCTAAATTGTGTAAATAAAATCGATTTTTAAGCATCATTCAATCGTCATTTAATCAATATCTAAAGATTTCTAACTTTAATGATGAGTTTTGATAGAAAAATGTTAACCAAATACTTCAAGAGGTCTCAAAACTGCCTCAAGTTAGCCCAGAAAGGCATGCAAAATACCAGATTAAAGCCTAAACTCACCTATTACCTCCCTTCCCTGGTCATCTCCCGGCAATACCTTAATCCCTGAACATTTCATTCACCTTTTTCAGGTCCAATCTCGTATGCAAATGGCGCCTGAATGGCTCATTAGCAAGGGGCCAGCCATAACTTCTAACAAAAGAATATTTCCCAGAGAAAAAAAAGCAGAGAGGAATGTATAGAAACTGGTAAAAAGTTGGCAACTCTTGCGAGCAGCAGCATGGGTCGGTCACAGCTTGAAGGCGACATAATCAGATTTGCACGCGACTCTGATTTAAAAATTAACAAATAAAAAAGATGCCAGCGACAGAGCGAGAGAGAGAGAGAGAGAGAGAGAGGAGTCAGGGGAGTGTTAAGAGGGGGGAAAAGAATTCAAATAATAAGTAATGATGGCAGCGGCGGAAACGCCTGCAATTTGCCACAATTGAAAGTGGCTGCCTGCCTTCCCCTTTTTTTTTTTCTGCGCCCAGCAAGCTGCCATGTTTTCTGTATTCAGTTTTCAGCTTTTTTTCTTTTTTTCTCTCGTTTTCATTATAACGCCGTGCTGTACTCCCATTGCGCCCCTTTTTTGGTTGGCTGCCAAGTACCGCCACCATCGAACATCAACATCAAAAACCAGGCGTCTAATTGAAGTCATTCCCACTTCCCAGTCCACTTTCCACTTCCCCCGTCCACTTCCCAGTCCACTTTCCAGTCCACTCCTCCCATTTAACACGCCCTTGCCCCCGGCGGCTGCTTTGCATAGCTCAAATCCCGCTCATACAATTTGATTAACCCATAAACGAGGCGCGGGACCTTCCATCATCATTAGCGACCCGTCGACAGCTCTGCTGCACTGCGATTAAAGGTTGTTTTTGTTGTTTTAGATTATTAGATTAAAGATTAAACTTCTTCTGACAAAGACTAAAGACTGAAAAGTAGTAAATTTAATGCTATTTTTACTCCTTTTTCTTGTGATTTTATAATGCAGATGTTAGATCTTCCACTAAGACTACTTAACTATCAAGAAAAGGCTAACCTTAAGCTACTTTTTGACCCGGGTATTAACTATCTCTAAGAAATATGTAAACCTAACAGAAGTTAATCCATTTCTTAGTTAGGTTTCCCCCTTTTTAGTACCCTTTTTTTACCCATCAAATCAAACGGATTTTCTCTCAGTGCTTCGGCAGCCATCGGGGGTATGCGTGGATTTTGTTTGCCACTGAAAACTCAGCGGCCGTCCGGCCACTTCTTCTGCCGTTACACTCCAATTGAAGTTTCGGCCATTTTGGCTTCGCTCCCTTATTTCCATTCCCATTTTTCACATTATTGTTATTGTGTTTTTTTGTTCGGCTACTAATTTGTTTTGGCTCTGGGCCTTTGGTGTTGCCTATTTTCTAATTTGAGGCTACAACAACCACCATCAGCCCTAATCGTACGCCCAACCCTCCTCCAACCCTGCTGCCCGTTCTGGTTGTGTGTAGTGGCAGTGTTTGCCTTTCGGTTTACTCAAGTGCCAGCTCGAAAGCCTGTCCCATAAATTGGTTCGTCGTCATTGCCGAGCACACACTTCGGCCACTTCGGTGGCTGGCACAGCAAGGAATGTTAATGCACTGAAAGAAATTGGACTATAAGCAAGGGAGATCTGAATATATTTCGATCTATAAGCATAGAAGTTGCTCTTATAAACAGCAACTTTCGCTTGGTTATATAATATATATCTGCTGTATAGATTTTCTCCATGTTTATAACTTAAAAACCCGAAACGCAGCCAACTAAATCGAAGAACTAAGCAACTGTCAGCCTGCATCCTCGGTCTCGAGTGCCCTCAAATGATAAATCATTTTTACGTTTTTCCCTCTTTTCGCTCTCACCAACGATGATCGAGTATTTTGGGCCTACAGCTGGGTGGAAATTAGTGCGGATAATCCCATTAAAGGACTTGCATGCCAGCCTAAAACCGAAGGAGTAGCCTTTTCTGTTTATTTGGGATGGAAAGAGAGGCGGTGTTTGTGGAAGAGATCAAAGTAGA